TTCAAGGTATGAGACAATATCATGCATATAGAGCTTCTAGTAATACTTTTTAACGTCTTCCAGATGCCACTGATTCAATAGAGAAAAGGTATTTCGCCTAGGAAAGAACGGAGTCGTGTGTAGGATCATAAGGATGATCCTTGGAAGGTATCTCTAGAATTGCTGGTATTGGTTTGTTATAGCTATAAAGTTCAGCATCAATCTTAATAAAAAATGCAGACATATGATTAGTTCCTTCCATATTATGACAATAGTTCTTTTTGATTGAACTTATTAAATCCTCCAAAGTAAATTATTCAGCCTTTTATGCTTTCTAATAACTCGTAACCACTCAAACTTCAAATGAATGCCATGAATGATGTCTGTATATATGTAAGTTGGTCCATGATCTTGAATCTTGTGCATTATATATTTTCTAATAACACATGGTCTTACTTGTCTATGATTATTGTGACAACCATCCAAAAGCATGTCTTTGATTGCATAAAGGCAAACTACAAAATAATCACATGCTTCAACTATCATAAATACAAACAATTGTGCACATAGTTTTATTTAATTTCTTCAATTTCAATTCAAAGTTATGTTTCAATGCAATCAAGTGCTCAACTTCTTGATGATTTTTTTGGTGTCAAACAATTGATCAACTTGCAAATCTTTATTAACGAAATCACATGCAACGTATAGTAAGATCGTGAAGTAGGTCCCTCCTGGGAGTTCCCATCTATTTCGTGTCTACATGTAGATAAAGTAATGAGGTCCTCATTTTTAAATGAAACTTTCTCTTTATTATCTTGAAATATCTTGGTGGTCCAAGTATAGCATTTGTCTTCAAAATAATTACATTGTCCTCTCGAGCTATCTTTGTAGTGTCCCAAAGATACCCATGTATATGACATATTCTCAAATACACGAAGTATTACAATACCTTCTCCATTACTCTCAATCCATTTTCGTGTCGATCAACCTTAGTCAATCATTACAAACTCACCAAAGTAACAATAATTGAGAAGTGTCTGTTGATGGTAATAATAAGATCAAATGATTTTATTTGTGAAATAATTACTATCGAAGATCACATGTAAATACAATTAACAAATCCTCTCACATAACTATGAGTTTCACCTTTTAAGTTTGCCAGTCTAGATGCTTCAACTAGAAAAAGAGAGAAATAGCTATTTGAGAGGAAGATATTTGAATTACATGCCTTTTTCTTCAACCATGGGAGTATTTTTAGATTTTCCTCCAGGCATTGGGGTGGCTTTGTCATTTTTGCTTTATGTCAGGTGGTGACTTATTATTGGTTGCTTTTTAACTGATTTAATCCAAAGTTACGCTTTATTCATGTGGCTGCATATAATTTGCCATCGGTTTGAATTCTTTATGTGAGCCTTCTATGTCTTTGTTCCCCTCGCGTATTACTTTTCACCTTACCAATGGATATCTGAGTTTGTGGGTTTTATTGCGAAGGTTAACAAATAGTCTCTCAAGTCTGGTTTCAATATTTATAATAATTATAGAACTTATTATTTCTTTTGATATATTACAACCCATGATTGTCTATATTTTTCTTCGCTAGTAGTGAATGAAATGGATTATTCAAAAAGTTTTGATTGCTGCAATTATTTTCATATAATGCAGGCCTTTTTTGCATTTTTCTAGGTCAGTGGCCTGTACGCATTTAATGCACTTGTCAAACTCATTTAATCAAGTCCATCATTTTTTATTCATTTATCAAGCGCCTCTTAATATTCGATGGTTGTGATTATTTGTACAATATGACTGACTGCAATTTAGCTATACCTGCAATCTAATTATTTACGTTCCTTTATGGAACCTATTATATATGTTATATCTCTTAGTAGGTTTATTTCTTTGTTTTCTTTGCCTCTCATATTTCCTAACATCTTTGTAGTTTTCTTCTACTACCATGTCTTCCTAGAGTGACTCTCAAAATATTTCTTGGAGATCTAAGGTTGAAAGTTCCCAACTCAAAGATTGGTCTCTGAAGGTGTTCTTTTCCCCTTATGGGTCTCAACCTCTTGCGACACAATTGCGTCTATCAATGAATTATCTTCAGGGTTGATCCAACCTTTCCTGATCAAGGTGGTATTTTCACCCAAAAATGGATGAGGCTCGCGAGCAGAGGCGGAGCCCAGCAATGCTCCCCAGCCCATATAAATAATATTAGCCCAAATATTAATATTAATATTAGCCTAGCTTTAAGAAGAATTGTTGACTTTTGGCCCAAAATATTAATATTAGTCCAGCTATAGTTTAAATTTCAATCCAACTCCAATGCTCAATTATTCAAATTGTATTAAAGACACTACAATTATTAATTACTCTTTTCATGGCATTCATAAAATGTAAATATTTTATTGTCAAATTAGATATTCTATTTAATGCATGTTTGACTAAAATTTACTTATAATTATTAAGTAAATTTTATTATAGATAATTTGTATTGATTAGATCTAAAAGTAAACTACTTATTTTAATAGATAGAGACATTACATATTTTTCTAAATTTGAAAGTAATTAATTTTTTTATTTCTACGTGTGTTTTTATTTGTTACTAATTTAAATATTTATAAAAAAAACTTATTTTGACCATAAAATAGATATTATGATCAAAATAGATAATTTACTGTAGATTTGATATTGACAATCAAAAAAATAATTGCGAAAACTTTCAGTTGTTTGGAAAGATTGATTGTCAAAGTTACTAGAAGAGTACTCATTGAATAATTTCTTAAATTTTTGTTGGTTGATATGTATTTTTGCTTATTTCTATTATAATTTGGTTAGTTTATATTTTTTTAAAGTAAGTGTTGATTTTCTATTTGGTTAAAAAATACAAAAATTTAGTGGAATATCTTTGAGTTGGACCATTAGGGCCTTCGCCTATAGATTCTCCATTTTTTCCTTCTCCGATTCCAGCTACAGATTCTAGAAAAAAGGGAAACTGCAGATGGGCTTGTGCCCATTCTCAATCCCAAAGGCTCCTACTCATCTCAAGGTCTCACTCCATGTTTGAAGTCACTATTCCTTTCTTGTTGTGAGGGTTCACTAGATGTGGAGGCTCTATCATTATTTCCTTCCTCTGGTTATCATACAACGAAGGCTGGTTTTTTTGCCTATTCCAACACATCTTGGGAGAAGCTGGTGGAGGAACTTACTCCTACTGAGAGGGAAAAAGTGATAGACACCCATTTTCAGCGAGCTACAGTCTTATCTCAATATTAGAAATTTGACCATGAATTTTGCACCTCAAAGGTGGCTAGCTCGGAGAAGAAATCTGGCTCTCTGGTGAAGAAGTACAGTTCTCTCTAGAGAAAGTTGAAGGATATTGGCAATGTGAGGGATTAGGAGATGAGTAAGGATGCTCAAGCTTTTGCGATGAAGGAGGCTTTCTTGGTGGTTGATGTCAAGTTGATTTCCTCAGATTTAGACTCGGTAAAGGGTGAACATGCAGCCTATGTTACTAGGATAGAGCCTATGCTTCATGTCTTAAAGATGAGTTCCACAGGACTAAGTCTAAGTATGTGCTACTCTTATGGAACTAAATGATACACAAGGAATGAAATAGATATGCTTTGTCGTAAATTGAGAAAATGTTGAGGCGGAGTTGGCTGTCACAGAATCTAGTCTTTTTAAAGCGACTGCTCATAAGGCGAAATTAGTTGAGAATGCTATGAGGATGGGAGAAACAAGGTGCTCAACATTATCAAAGACTTTCACCGTAAATGGAATCTGAATTTTTTTAAGGCTCCTGAAGATGATGTTGGAGACAGCTCCTCTTCTAATGTTCATCCTCTGGCCGTGACGGGTTTGGACACTCCATCCGTTCTGACTGTTCTTTCCCAATTTAACTCTCCGACTATCCTCCCAAGTGGGAATGTGACTATTAATGAGCCTCTTGACACTCGTCTTCCCGCTTTCACAAAAGCAAGACGCCATTAGGGGGCAAAGTTCATGTTAACCAAGATGATCCTTTCTCCAAGAATCTTTAGCCCCTGGTTAATTAGGATTGCTTGCTTTGTCTCACTACGACTGCAAGATTTCATTCCTTATTTATATAAAACTGCTCTTTTCTAGCATTTTTATTAATAAAATATTATTATCTTATGTTGTATGAATTCGTTCATTTGATACGTTTTGCATATGCATTATTTCTCATTTGTTAATTTTCTCATTTGTTGATTTCTCATTCCAACAACCCTATTTCTAAATGAAACTGTATTGTATTATCCTATTAACAATTGGGGGTTTGAATTACTTTTCCTTCCCTAGCTATTTCTTTTTCATTCATGTATATTTTGTGCACGATTACATTGATGTCATAACTTCTAAAGATAAATGGACGTGGTCACGTCCCCCTTTTGATAATAATTCCCTCTGGGGTAAAAATCAGTCCTCATGTTTCTTTGGCAAAATAGACCTCGCCTTTCGCGAAGGTTGGGCACTTTCAGCCTTGGCCAGCATGTGAGATGACCCTGCCTGCCTTATTATATATGTGGGCCTTTAGCTTCTTGGTGTGATAGTTGCACTCTTTGCTTGTTTTGCTTCTTCACCATTTTTAGCACTTCGTAGCATTCATTCGTATCATAACGGTCAATACTATTAATTTTATAGAATTTTGACATCTGTTTGTTAGGTGGTAGGTAGGCCTCGTCGACATTTTGTCGAAGAGGGTATGAAAATAGTGCATATTGGGTCCTTAAATTCTTTGGAACTATGGCATTGTGATCTGGACAGTTCATATGCATATGTCATTATTTTTCCTCTAGTCTTCCTGACAGGATTTTATCCTATCGCCCTCTGCTTTTGCATCCTCATTTTATTTTCCAGCACATCTTTTACCTGGATCTCGTTAAATATAAGGTCTATTAATTGGGAAAGAGAAAATGGATACCTTTTGCGGACCGTATACTACAGGAGAGTGCTTGGTCGTAGGCCACTTCACAGTATTTCCTTTACTTCATCTGTCTCAAACCCACTAGCAAACATCTCATCTTTAAATCGTGTAAATTAACTTCTGATAGATATCCTTTCCTTTTGCCTGATGTTACTTAAGTTCACAGTTTCCTGTACCATTTCGAGATTCATTTGTTGATGAGGAAATCCGCTGGTAACTTTACATTACATTCTCCGTGGTGGATTGGACTTCTGGCTTTTTGTGTAAATGACTATCGTCAAATTGTTAAACCTCCAACCATGAGAGCTTTCTTGGTTCGCTATTATGTTCTCTGAGGATTTACTATTCTGCGATTTTTTCCACTTTCCTACTGAGCAACGCCACAAGCTTTTAACACCCGCAATCCATGATTGATTTTGGGGCGAAATTTAGCATCATGCGCTAATTTTTCTCGATTTTCCTTTTACTGCCAATTCGTTTTTGGCTTCTCATATTTTGCACTTAGATACGCATTTTCCGCCTCCAACATCTCTAGTTTTTTGACATTTTATGAATAGTTTTGCAGTGGGCACTCCTTTCCCTTGAAGATGGCTTTAGACGAGGTAAACTTCGACTAGTAACCTTGTCGGTATTCCCTACCACTCTCTCTTTAATTTTATGTCACTTTTGACGGAATTGTTGCTGGATTTCCCTGTTCCGACTTTTAGTGATCTGCTTCCACTTCATTCATTCTTCCAGATCCTTGAGGTTTCTAAACTTTAGTGGGCAAACTTGTGGTTTACTTTGCTCAGTTTACACTGACAATGCCAATTTGTTGATGGTAAAAATCGGACCAAATGATTTTATTGATGAAAAATTACAATCAACAAATCATCTCACTTAACTATGAGTTTCACCTGCTAAATTTACTAGTTTAGATGCTTCAACTAGAACAAGATGGGAAATAGTTATTTGAGAGGGAAATATTTGAATTACTTGCATTTTTCTTCAATCATGCGTTATTTATAGATTTTTCTCCAAGCATTGGAATAATTTGATCATATTCACGTTACGTTAGTTAATGACGTCTTATTGGTTTCTTTTTAACTGACTCACGCTTTATTCACTTGCTCACGTACTACTTATTGACAGCCTATAACCAACCTGCAATTGACAAATTGTTTAAGATCTTTATGCGAGCCTTTTACTTCTTTGTTTTCGTCGCATATTACCTTTCACCTTGCTAATTGATATCTGGGTTCACTAGTTGTATTCCAATGGCTAACAATGTGTACTCCATATCTGCATCTCAACACAAATTCAAAAAATGTTTGCTAAGTATCACTATTCAAAGTTGAACTTAATATCAAGCTATTATCTGGAAGGCAGTCGATTGACATACCATTTGTTTTGCCTAACATAATACATAATCCAGACTTCATTTTCAATAAGTGTGTGCAAAATTTCGCGAACACATCTAATAATTTGTATCTATTTATCTAAACACGAAAAAATATGCCAACATAGTATTTAACAATTATAAACGAAACTCAAACTAATGAAACCAAAGAAAGTGAAAATATTCTTACTAATAAAAAATATTGAAATGTTGATTTCTAATAAGTGTTAACGATATGCTTGTATTGAGGTTTGAAGATAAATATGAACAAATATAATAGAAATTTTGATGATTTAATGTTGGAGGAGATGAAATATTCATGAAATAAAAGAGTATTGATTTGATTGGAATTCGAAATAGATTTAGTGGGATATGTGAGTTCTCTTGTTACAATTGAACTAGAGACGGATTTGCGGGGGCTGGGTTGGGCTTGGCTGTACTCCCACACCCCCCCCCCACTCAGGCCCAAGAAATTTTTTTTAAGGTATTTTTTATTTTTTTTGGTAAAAAAATTAGTTTTTTATATGTAATTTTTTTTTCGCGTAGTAGTTCGATTTGAAATTTGGTAATCCGATCTTGGATCCGTCCCTGAATTGAACCAAGTATTCATATAATTTACTTTTAACTATTTTAATAATTTTGACCAGACATTTTAATCTTTTACTACAAATTTTGTAACTCCGAATGAATTGGCAAGCTTGTCTAAGTTTATTAGCCAATCCCCAACGAATAACAAATAAACAGTGTAGTCGTAAGACCCATTCCTTCTGTTCACTGAACTACACGACAAAAACCTAAACAATCTTGCTCGTCCATTTACCATACATTGGGCCCAGTCCAACGGCGATAAGATAAGCTAACGTACAAATATAAATGCCACGCTACATTTTGTTTAGTGTAGCATCTCTGTCTTCATCTTCCTCTACCTAATTTACCAGTCTTCTACAACTGATTACACAGTAGGTAAAAATAAATAATGGCTCGCAATGATTTGTTGGTCGTCGGAGTTCTAATCGCCTGTTGTATCGCCGGAGGATCGCCCACATTCGCCGATGACAATCCGATCAGACAAGTCGTTGACGGCCTGCATGACCTCGAAACTTCCATTCTCCAAATCGTCGGAAATTCCCGCCGCGCACTCTCCTTTGCGCGATTTGCTCATAGGTCAGTTAATTTTATTTTTCAAATTTTGGCTGTGTGTTCAATTAATCGAGATTTTCCCAGTTAGGGGTGTTTATTTGGTCAGTCATCTATTTTTTGTTATAAATTTGATACTCAGTTTTCATTTTACAGTCAATTCAGTGTATAAAAACTAACAGAATATGCTCGTAAAGGACCTTTATCCTACATGAATTAAACTAGGACACTAATTACCAACTATCAGCCAGTACGGATAAGCAAGAAATCCTTCCTCCAATGCATATTCTGCTAGTTTTTATTCATGATATTGACAGCATAAACGAACGGAATAAGCACAAGTGTTGCGGTATAGAACCAATTATTTCTTGGTCTCTAATTGAAACAAAAAGTTTGATTTCTTGACGTTTATTTTGTTAATGGGATATTTTTTCAAGGTACGGGAAGAGGTACGAGGACGCTGACGAAATGCAGAAGAGGTTCGAGATATTCTCAGAGAATTTGAGGATTATTAGATCACACAACAAGAAGGGACTTCCTTACATTCTCGCTGTAAATGGTAATGCTTTTCTCTTTATCCTGGAATTTTAATCACTTGTATATCTCCATTAATGAACATATACAGATCCATCTCATTCATACGTTACTAGGTAGGCAGTATTAGAGGGGATTAAGGTGAATAGTAGATATAACTTTTTCACTTAAAGAATGTTTTTGCACTATTTTTCTTATCTGGCTTAAACTCAACTCATTATTCTTTATTATGTTATCCCGTTAGCCTAAGAAGCATAATGCAAATTATATTATTTCACCTTACTCCACTCTAATACTATCTATATAGTATATCTACTCTAATTTTATACTTAATTGCTTACATGGTCTAATTCAATGTAGCAAACACAACCTAAAGGTATTTGCATAGAAGGACTGATAATACAATGTTATATCCCTCATGGCTCTTATTAACGATGCCTGTAAAAACTATATAACGAGTTGATACTTGCAAACTATAATAATTTTTATGTACTTTAAGAATTTCACGAAAGGATTTTGTAATTTTAGTTCTTTTACCTTTTATAGTCCCTTTTTCATTTATTAATATTGTGGCACCTAACACAAATGCATCATCAAAAACCATCCGGATCTCGCCTTATATGCTTCCAATACAACTACATACATGCATAAGAACAGCATAGCATCCAACTTGCTAAACCTTTTTAGAACCACCATTGACCACTGACATATCAGAAATCATACAAAATCGACAGATGAATTGAAAGAACTACTGTAGCCAGAGCAACTAACAACCTTCCACCTTGGTCTGAAGAAAGGAGAAATTAAGAATTAGATGTAGAGAAGCAGCTGCTATGGCTTTTGTACATATTTGGTTTTGTTTTAAATTTAACCGTAAGAGGAATTTATGTTATTTTCTTCTGTAGAAAACAAATTTTGCGGTAAAATTATAGGGCAGTACTCCTTTTTTAGTTGTAATGTTCCAGTTAAAAACTTAGTAGTTACATTAGCTCACGGATCCCATGCTTTTCAAAACCTGATGCCTCAACAAAATGTGGCATGAGAAACACCATATGTATGCTAACTGGATTAGCTGCAATCCTAGCACGCAAATCGAACCAAATCGAAGCTTCTTCCATCAGTTTTTGTCCATGCAATTAATTCTTACTTAATGAAATAAATGTAAATGGCCATTAAACAGTATCAAGATGTTAGTTTCTGCTTCCTTGGTTGATAATTGAGTGTGCTGATCGACAGAATTTGCTGATTTAACTTGGGATGAATTCCGTAAGCATAAATTGGGAGCTGCTCAGAACTGCTCTGCTACCTCAAGGGACAATCACAAGCTCACTGATGTTGTCCTTCCAGAAACGGTAACTGCAGCTTTTCTGCATTGTTTATTGGTTCATAGTATATCAGGAATGCGTAATTTGTACAATTTCCAAATTTTCTATCCTTACACTTTGATTGCCATCCATTTAAACTATAAACCGATTATTACAAAGATTCTGATTATAGTTTAGTACACTGTAACAAGTTTTCCAGATTGGACTGTGCTCCCTTTTGCGATGCATACTTCTTTGCAGTTTGGATATTGAACAACAAGATGCATAAATCTTAAATCAGATTGATTTGTCTTAGGTTTTGATGTGCAACTTTTATGAACATCTGGATTTAGAATGATGCAAATGGATAATAACACTGACCATTTTATTCCTTTTGCGGTAAAATTTGATATGAAGCTTGTATGACAATCTTTAATTATTGAAGCTGATAATTGATCAAAATAGTCGTTTCACTTGTTAATAGTTTTCAATTTTTGTTCTGGTGTATTGCAGAAAGACTGGAGAGAAACCGGAATAGTTAGCCCAGTCAAAAACCAAGGTCATTGCGGATCTTGCTGGACATTCAGGTAATATTGAGTGTGGTTCATGTCGTGGAGATTGGGACTTATTAATAATGCTTGTAAGCAGACATGAGAATCCCATTAATACTTCCTGAGTTATGTCATCTTTACAGCACTACTGGAGCCCTAGAGGCAGCTTATGCTCAGGCATTCGGGAAGGGTATTTCTCTGTCCGAACAGCAACTTGTGGACTGTGCTAGAGCATTTAATAACTTTGGTTGCAATGGTGGCCTGCCATCTCAAGCTTTTGAGTACATTAAGTTCAATGGTGGACTTGACACTGAGGATACATATCCATATACTGGAAAGGACGGGGTGTGCAAATACTCATCTGAAAATGTTGGTGTCAAGGTCCTAGACTCTGTTAATATAACCCTGGTAAGATCAGGAATCTTATTGAGTCTCAACCAGCACACCAGTATGAATAGCAAGATTTCTGTTGGATGTGTCCATTGCATGGTAACGTAGTTGTGTCTAAATGACTTGTTCACTGTTGCTTCCATAGAAGAAGAATGTTTGCTTATTCTACTTGTTCATGATCTAAAATACTGAAAATACATTTAGCAGTTCAGATACTGATTTGCTTCCTTTTTTGCCCTGTAACACCTTCTGTCAATGTAATTGTGGATTTGTGCTTGAATTAGTTTTTTTCTACGGTGCTGCAGTTACACCAACTACTGCAGTTTGAGATCAGATGAGGCACAGGACAAGAATACAACTATTTTCACAAGCTGAGATGCTTTTGGTTGTTTACTAACATGTTGGTAAAATCACAGGGTGCTGAAGATGAACTGAAACATGCAGTAGGAATTGTTCGGCCAGTAAGCGTGGCATTTGAGGTGGTAACTGGCTTTCGATTTTACAAAGAGGGCGTTTACACCAGCACCAGCTGTGGCAGCAATCCAATGGTGAGTTCTTTAATATAAGAAATTTAGATTATACGAATGTAACTGAGTAAAAATCTGTTAAAACAGAATTTTGAGGATGAATTTTTTATTTTAAACAAGATAATTAGGTAATTTTCATAGTGTACGGTCTTACCAATCCCAAATATTGGAGCTTACGCCTCTGGTTGCATTATTTACACTCGTCACTATCTGGAAAACGAGTGAGTTGTGGGAGCCAGATATCTGGACCAATGTCCATAATGGAGACACAAGTATTTTGTAGGCCAAGTGTACGTTGTGTTTATGCATCCTCGAGCCAACCACTTGCTACTGGTCTTGGTCAGTGAGTAGGTTGACATATCATCTTGCACTAATACTTAATAAATATGCTTAACTGTCTTCAATGATTCTTAGCATGTAGTACAGATGCAATGCATTTTGCATTCTGAAAGACATTTCAATGGTACCGCCCATTTGTTGTCTCGTGCAGGATGTGAATCATGCTGTTCTTGCCATTGGTTATGGAGTTGAAAACGGTATTCCATATTGGCTGATTAAGAACTCATGGGGCGCTGACTGGGGTGACGATGGCTACTTTAAAATGGAGATGGGAAAGAACATGTGCGGTAAGTTTTCTGCAGATCATAAATCATCTTGTTTCAAAGAAGGCTGACTCCCTTAGTCATGTTTGGCTGAGCAGCTTATAGGGGTACTTAGAGGTATATCACAATTTAACTTGTTCCAAAGAAGTCTAGACGCCCTTGGTAGCACCATGCTAAATGTTAGAACCGATTAATCAACTGCAAACATGTTTAGACATAATCTATGGACGTGAGATGTTGGTAAGCTTCATTCGACCCAGGGAGCTTCAAGTTCAGTATATAAACTGATGGAAATGAATTTTTTGCAGGTGTTGCAACTTGTGCATCATACCCCATAGTTGCTTAAGTGTTCTCGAAGGAATTGTGGATTCTCTGAAGTTTTGTGTGCCATCTTCCTCCAGTTTAATCGTCAAAGATTATATTGAAGAATCGCATGCAAATAAGATGGGGTTTTGTACAAAATAAGATTCACGGAGAAGTGATCCTATTATTTGCAATTTTCAAATATAATTGAACACTGTAAATAAGCTGAAATGGTACATCTTTCAATTTGTGGTAATGTTATTTACCAACTCTTTCAGTTGCTCAATATGGACTCAAAAATAATTCAGAAGAATACAGAAGTGCAAAAGGCAAAACAAACGGGTAAACAACTCAGCCATCTTGAGGCATAAAACTTAGTAAATCAAAGCATATGCTTCACGGATGGCAAGCTTTTTTTTTTGTAAATCCTCGTGCGAATGAGATCAAAAATGTTATCCAATGGTATCAAGACTTTTATGGGGGAACAGTATGGGGACAACAGATCTATCCTCTGAACGGGATAATATAAAAGATGTATATAACTTTATCAAAGAATATGTAGTTAAGAATTGGATGTCAAACCATATCGTTAGTTTGAATGAATATTTATAAAATCTAGTCATGTTCGAGACAAATTAAAGTCTAGTTGTCAATGTACATTGAATCCGAAATTCAGTGACAATTAGTGAAATTAACCCCTAGTTAACTCGGCACTAGTTCACTTTCATTGCAATTAATCACTATCATACTGAATGTGGAAAAACACTAGCTCACTATCAAGCTGCCCTATGGAGTTTCCTTGACATGACTTAAAAGATACATTAAGTCTGGTGTGGTTTTAATTAAAATAAAATTAAAACATCAAAATCAAATTTTAATTTTAATCACATAATAATTTATGGGATCCACAACTTTTCAACTATACATTTCGTCATTTTTTTAAATCAAAATCTACTAAAATTCTGATTTTAATCTACACCAAAAAAAGAGCTAAATGTCAAACATTTTCGACATTATATATAGGGATTATGTTACTTGCAAAAAGTGCTTACAAACAGCAATTTATATGCAAGCATCGTTTATAAATAGCATTACTTCATATATAATATTAGCATTCTTTACTCGTACTAAACTTTCATAAAGTTTACAAGTCACTAACAGAAACTGTTGTTTGTAACATTACTTTGTGTATTATTCTATTGTTCTTGCTCTTGTCTTCTTTCATATTATAGTCCACAATCCAACCGAAAAACGAATTGGTTATCACCAATGATTCATACAAGTAGATATAGTAGCCAATAGCCATTAGAGCCATAACCCGATCATGACCTCCTAAAACCATCCAGATTTTTTTTTTACGGCTTGAAGAGTTTTCTCAAACGATTTCCTTATCTTAAACGAGATTGGCATCGAGAAACTTTCTTGCAATAGACAAATAGATAAGTATAATCTTTCTTGCAATAGACAAATAGATAAGTATAATGAGTACTGAAACATGTTATAATATTAAAGCAAGAATAACTACTATTATACTTTCTCATGGGTGTGCTCAAAAAATAATTAGAATCATGCTATATGTACAATTCTGATTGACAACTCACATTTGATAACATCACATTCGTTCATTTTATAAATAGTTTTTCAAATCAATGGTCCAGATTTTTACACCACCAACATTGTCAACCATTATTGTCAAGTATGATGGTACAAATAACATAATTGAAGTAATTAACATTGATGGTCAATCCAGAGCTAATTACTACAAAGAGGAATTTCACTTATATTCAATATAAAAGTTACAACAAGTAACACTTACAAGTATTAGGGATAATTGTAGTTGCGATACAAAACTTTTCACTTTATCCGAACATTCCATTTGTACAGGCCAAAGTTTCAAATTTTTACTTTTGTTGCCGTAGGACAAATGGATGGAATTAGTTGACCAGAAAAGTGATCTTTGACAATATTTAGACTAATTTTAAAAGAGCAAAATGGTAAATTTGTATTTTAAAAAACTAAATTATAATAATTAAATAAAAAACCTCAAAACACAAAAATTAAGCCCTGGTTTGTCACTTATTATCTGAAAAATTAAAGAGTTTCGAATATTTTTTTTGGAAAATGTATGGGGAAAAAAATTATTGGTTAGTGTGTATAATATTTTATTATATGAATGTGTAATGAAGAATGATATTGTAATTCACACACACGAAAATTAAAATCTACACCCCCCACCCCCAAACTTTGTCTTCTTCCTCAAATTTAAAACATAAGGTATTCTCAAGGCATCTCCAACATTAGTCTCAAAACACCAAAATGCACCATTTTTGGTGCAAATGAGTTTCAATGCAATACTATACTTTGCGCCATTTTGCACCAAAATGGTGCAAAGTGTATAAAGTCTCTTTTGCCCTTTTTTCTCCTTTTCCAAATAAATTGGTTAAGGGTATTTGTATTATATATTTTTTAATACAATAAATTATTATTATTATTATTATTATTATTATTATTATTATTATTATTATTATTATTATTTGTATTTAGAATAAATTTTAAATGTAAGAAATAATAATTAATGAATTAATTAAAAGAAGAAAAAATTAAAATATAACAAATACGTTTATTTATTAAAGTTAACACAAAATATATTAAACAACAACATACATACGATAATCTAATTTTATTTAAAGAAAACGATACATAAAAAAATTTGCGACTTTGTAATATCGTAATATCCAAATTCGAAATGCATTGTACTATTTTGTGATGGCATGATTTAATATTTTGTATGTTGTACTGTTTTTATTAATTGTACTATGTTTTTTATATTTATTAATTAATTTAATCTTTTTTGTAATTTAACGTAATTATTTATTTAGTAATTTATGTATTTATAAAATAATTAAATAAAAGAATTATATAAATAATAAAAAATGTAAAAATGGTTAAACACTGTATAAATTATTTATTTGGTGTAAGTTTTGGTGTAATGGTTGGAGATGAATTTTAGTTTGGTGCAAGATTTGGTATAAAATGGTATAAAATTTGGTGCAACGCTTGAGATGGCCTCATTCCCATATAAAGAGAATGAAATCTCCATTTTTTGCCTCCAGTTATTCCCATTGTTTGAGTCTAGCATGCGATCCGACTTATCCAACAAAGATGACAGCTCATCGAGAAGAAGTTAATTACGATTCCAATGTTCCTGAGATCATCGCCTACAATGAATGGGCTGTTTTCATCAAGTTGGCTAAGGAGCGGTGATCCAGAGGCGCTATTATCACCAGAGAGATTTAACAACAGTAAAGATTGGTGACATATAAACTGGAAATTAATGTGTGTCTTTAGTGTTTTAATTATCTGCTGCAACGGGAATAGTTTCGCAACACAAAATTGAACGGGATGAAATGGTTTCGATCAAGTGAATTTTCATGATGTCACGAGTGCACTCCATTGGTGGCCATATGCCGAAGGAGACATTGGAGAATTTTGGTAGGGTGGTGGATCCGCAGTATTGTTTATTGGAAATTTAGTGTAGTGGATGAGATCGAATTATTCATACCGTATATGCAATTTACAAGTTGGATTTATGCATACCGTATATGCAATATACCGTATTTACAACTCACCATCTATGTGACATATCGTATTTGCAACAGTATACTGTATTTACACCTACATACCGTATATGCAACAGTTTACAATATATACAACAGCATACCGTATTTCTACCAACATAACATATATGCAACAGATTACAGTATTTGCATATATCGTATATGCAGTGAACAAGATAAAATATAGCAAATTTTAATTGCAATAGAATAAACAAATTAATTTGATCAAATTAATCTAGTTGGCCAAATAACACAAATTAATTTTTAATAAATATAAATAGAAAGACAATATAGTAAACTACAAATTATATAAAGCACACGAATAAATTACAGAAATATTAAATAACAAATGAACATTCAACCCGAGGCCTGTGCAAGCACAGTTTCCTTAAAACAGATTCGCCCCTTCACCGTAAGTGTTTGAGATTTAATCTGAACGTTTGTTTCCCAAGATATAACGATAAACTAGTAGAATCTGAGCACTTCAGAAACTACTCCAACGAACTAAGTTAGTATTCGAACAATATACCACCATGACGTTGTACAGAAACTGCATATGCAGACCGAGAGATTTTTCGTGTGAGTGAATTGCTGAAAAATGAGACTTAATATCAAATAAATTTGCTATTAACTCTATGACAATAAACATTGGAGTCACTTTAATTTCTGCTAAAGTTTTAGCATTTTCAGAAACTCAAAAGAATTGCAAAACGTGGACACTCCAAAACGGGCCAATTTTTGCTCCGTTCGGTTCGATATTCGTGTATGTATGTCGCACCCGCACACAAGTTCAAGGTCCAAAGGTTATTTCGGTTCTTGATTTGCACCCCCTGCATGCACATAGAGATAGTTTCTATGCTACACATGATTACACCCTTCCAAAATGTAACCATATATCAAGTGGTTCATGCTTTCTTCATTTTCTTGTGTGGGACAAATCCTATTTTCCCATATGAACTATTTTCCAATGGTCAACTTTGAGCTCCAATTTCTCATTCACCCAAGCTTCTTTTTTAGCAAGTAAATACATGGTTTTGATACTCTTACGCAGGAGAATACAGATCAACTTTGATCTTCCAAATTGGACCAACGGGTCCAACAGAAAATTGTGCCAAAAGTGAGTCATTTACTCATTTTGACCAACATTGTTGGGCTTGTTCAGTTTCCATCATTAGGTTGATTAAAGTGACTGATTTTGGGATTTTTCTCTTTTGTAATTCATTCTTCTTTTTCCTGGAGTTCCTTGTGTTCTTTTCTGTAATTTGTTTTTGTTCTTTATGCTCCAAGGAAACTTTCATGGAGGCAATGGTGCTGCATATGAATTTAGGGAAGAAGAAGAAGTTTAAGGATAGGTCTCAATTGGGGTGTAGGTTTTAATTTTATTAATTTTTTATTTAATTACTAATTTTTTTTTAAATATAAATTAACATCTTATCCCTTTAAAATTAGTTAAAACATTGTCAAAGTCTACATTTTTTTTGTCAACTAATAGTTAAATGTACAAAAATTCTGCCATTTGTCCTACCGCAACAAAAGTAGATGTTTGAAACTGGTGATACAATTATACAAATGAAAGTCTCGAATAAACTCTACAAATATTAAAAGATCTAGAATTGCTGCGACAATTATCCCTAGGTATTATTCCATCTGTACCCATGTTTGGTAG